GTAAGTCAGAAGAACGCGTAAGTACGGACACGGGTGTATTGGGTACACGCGGCCAAACTGGTCCGCTTTCGTGGCAGGCAAGCAAAAACAACTGAGTCACATATCCAGTCAACCCACAGCGCTCACACGAGCCAACCAATCGGACACATCCAATCAGCCACTCACGTTATCAGTCAGATCGATGGTGGAACGACGAACGGACACGCACACGCGCAAACTCTCTGACACACCGAAGCAGCTACTACATTTATTACTGACGGGATTCTGACACACCGAAGCAGCTACTACATTTATTAATAACTGACGGGATGTAATCATATCAACCGTTGTAGTGGCTCGCGTGGTTGATGAATCGTCTTTGCGATTCCGTTGCTTAAACCTGGGTATCGGGTCATCAGCAGTTACAAAACAGGAAAAGAGACATTGTACCAGCACAATAATTGGCCCCATATAACGCTTAGTGTACATTCATAACTGGCTGTTAAACTATAAGGTAACGAGAAGTAGACTTGATAGTCCAGCGCCCGATTTTTACTGAAGAACGCAGATTAAGTTACAGGATGATATCATTGAAAAAAGCCGCGTTGCAAAGCGTGACTTACGCAACAAGATATGATAATTCATATCAACCGAGCTAAAATTCGGGCCAACTACATATGATTTGTACACTACTTAGCTGACCCGTCATATACCAATCAGTGGTTAGAGCGCGAATGTACCGACCGGAAGGGTTCGAACCCGGTCTCCGCCTTTTAACTCCCCTTTTCTAGGCTTTGCTCCGTTGTAGACCGTGCTAGAATACTTCAGACGATCCAGAGACCTTCCTGACCTGCAGGTTCTTAGTGGCCCGTCGAAGCGCGGTGGTGTTGCTGACTGTTGTTTGGATCGATGGTTAGGGGTAAATAAAGTAGAGATGAGCATACGACCCATACATGAAAGAGGAAGCTCAGTTTCCGCCTCCATATGTTTTGTCTAGTTGTGAACATTGCTTATGAGGACTGAAAAAGCACACGAAAGAAGGATAACGTTTCAACAAAATGATGATTTTTGAACGAAAGATTGAGATCTTTTGTTTTTTGAACCTACGTATTAGGTCTGTTGAGAAACAAAAAAGCATTTTAAGTGCTTGCAAGATTTGAAGGGGCGGGTTTACTCCGAACCAAAGTAGCAAACAAGCCTGCGCTCGTAATCATGCACGTTTGATTTTTAGCCTCTGATAATGACTCAAGAATGTTTACTTCTCACCGGATTCGAAAACATTTCATCTAAACAGAGATGGGAGGAAAAAACATTTTCATTACCAGGACCCATTCGGATGTTCCGTTGACATAATGTACTTACAAATATTGCATGTACGTGCTGGCCCAGTTTGGCAGAGCCAACTCACGGGCCGCTGCTGGTGTATTTCTACGGACGTAATCCAGATCGGGCGGTGTGAGCTGATAAGAGACGACGGCAGCGGGTAGAAGGTAACCGTGGTTAGCGTCCGGCGGATACTCATCCCATCGTTGCAGCACTCGGCGGAACTTGTAGGAAACAGTGACCTGGTGCCCGGGCGGGATCAACAGCACCAGCTCCATATGACCCATACGTTCCCGAGAAATACTTGGCACAAGGTGAGACTTGACTGAAATGGGACAATAGCAACCAAACCATGTACATTAACAGGATATGAATTTTACAGACAAGGCCCAACAAACATGAGACATGTCATAGCAACAAACCAAATGAATATTTCAACGGTAGAAATGGCATGCCTATGATATTTCACGGCCACAAAAACAGCAGTTGATTCAGTGTGATGGAATGTTGGACCCAAGTAATTCACAAGAGATGGTAAGCCGTAGCACCATGTAAATCAAAGCTCTGATTCAGTTAACCTGTTGCTGGCGCATAAGAGTACCGTATCAAGTGTGCGTGCGATTTTGATACCCGCAGCCGGATGAATGAGCTATATTCAACGCCAAATCTGCCAGGTCCTTACCCATTTGATTCTCGCATTGGGAACAGTGGCTGGAGGGCATAATCCTGAAACATAGGAGACCAATGAATTCTAATGGAAAGCTGATGAATAGCAATCCCACAAGATACAACGATTGGTCTTACCGTATTAACATAGCTGGTATTTTTTGCCAGCTCTTAAGAGAACTATAGGTAGAGACGTATTATGGATAAATATCCATAGGAAAACCGATTTGGAAAGAACACAATTCCACAAAGCCACTCCTTGGACACAACTCACATAGTTTTACTGTTTGCAGCGAGGTACAACAGTCTGAGGTTTAAAGGAACGTTGGCACCAGCTTTGAAAGGAAAGCACAGGCGTTAGGGATTGTCCAACATCCCACAGGCCAGAACTTAATGAACTATACTAACATCAAAAGGGCAATCATACACCACTGGGCATTATTCCATCATTATCCGGGAAAACGCAAGAAAAGTACACTATTACCTGGATACGACGACATCCATTTACCAGTTCCTTTGCTTCGTACCTCCACCTTCAAGGTACTGAAGAGTACTTGCGTGTACCAAGGTATAAAGTCCATATACACCACATGCAATGGAAAGGTAGCTCGGTTGGTAAGCAAGGCGCGTATACCACCATCCGCAGTGCCTGATCCAATGAGATATTTAGAAACAGATACCAATGGTAGGTCTGATGCGCTGGGTTGTCGCATCTGGGCAGGCGGTGTGAACAGTGATTTATCTTTCGCCCCATTAAGAAGTTCGGATGAAGCATAAACTGCTTGGACTCGCAGATCAGTAATGTTGTAAGAATCGGGTGATGGAGTGTCAACTTGAATTGTAGTCGTCATAGGAGAGGATAGTAAGAAGACCTGACTGGACTCAGCAGGGCCGCATACACCTTGAATCGAAGATCCCAGCATCCCTTGAATAGACCAAGGAGCTAAGGAAAGGGGGAAACCATTCCAGGTTGTGAAGCAGAAGTACAGAGGAAACTATGGACTTCCTAAATAGCTAGGTACAGACAGGTGAATGGGAATAAAACTGATCTTAAGACCTTTGCTTATAATTGTAGATGTAAGATGGAGTGTGAAAATATAGCAAACTCTTATTCGCAGTGGGTAGTTCATGCAAGGCGCTAAGACCGCAAATTCACCACAACGGTCAGAAACACACCGTTATGTTGTTAACGGGACGGAGAAAGGTGTGAGAAGAAAAGACCAGAAAGTTCTACGCTATGGTTCGCGAATTCACTAGAATCGCCCTTACTATCGATAGAAAAGTATCAAACATAGGCTTAGTCTCTATACTGGTTGTGCCTTGTTGTTATCGTTAACGAAGATGGGGAAGACCTAATGTCCGCCGAAAAAATTAACCGAAAAGTGTCCATATTAATATAATATATAATATATATAATATATATAATATAACAATGTGTACACTAAACGTACCTAAAGATGCTATAAAACAAAAGCCAGTATTCACCTCTGAAGATGTAAAACGGGACACCTTACTCCATGTGATCCTGTTTAACTGTCACTCGGACAGTCTCACAATGACGGATTATCTCCATTCATCTCTACTCATGTATAACAAATGCGTCCACAGTGGACGCACTCACCACTAACGAAAAGAACGCTGATGTTTTACGAGTTGTTACCAGATGGATCATAGAGCAACATGAAGTCAAGTCTTTCAGCTGTTTGTGCCTTTTTGTTATCGTTAACGAAGATGGGGAAGACCTAATGTCCGCCGAAAAAATTAACCGAAAAGTGTCCATATTAATATAATATATAATATATATAATATATATAATATAACAATGTGTACACTAAATGTACCTAAAGATGCTATAAAACAAAAGCCAGTATTCACCTCTGAAGATGTAAAACGGGACACCTTACTCCATGTGATCCTGTTTAACTGTCACTCGGACAGTCTCACAATGACGGATTATCTCCATTCATCTCTACTCATGTATAACAAATGCGTCCACAGTGGACGCACTCACCACTAACGAAAAGAACGCTGATGTTTTACGAGTTGTTACCAGATGGATCATAGAGCAACATGAAGTCAAGTCTTTCAGGTCAACTTCCATATCAAGATGGGATGGCGTAATATAAACATCGCGGCTCACACAAATCCTGATATTCTGCACGGTTTATGATTACATGACAGACTCAACGATCATTGACTGTACTCATGAACAAATGGTTGACGAAACACTACTATGATGGAAAATGTGCCTCGGGGTACCCTAACAAAGCTACCGTGTGTGCACTTTGGTAGACATTTAGAACTGGATGAAATTCAATGACAGTTCCTGGTATGGTATACATCCAACCAATCTGCTGTGTATCACATCCGTAGTTTTTTATCGCGTACCTCAAGAAGGGTGGACTGACACCTCAAATGCCCATCCGTGAAAATCACTGCTTGTGAGGCACTGATAAGTCTAATGAACGAATGAGTGCATATGTGGTGACATCCTCATCAACAACTAAGATTATTAAGTTTTCTGATGATAGCCTATTGCCCGATTAGTACAAGGGTCGTCGTCACACTCGGTGTGAGCGGCCAACAACGTGTTGTTGACTTCTAATAACGGCGCACCCAAAGCTTAACTATTTGTATTACAGCACGCGAGTTACAGTGATTATTTTTGCCAGTTTATCCATCTTAAGTATTCGGAGTGAGAACCAATGAAAACCCCTGAAAGGATACCTCGCATTTAGGGACAGATCAGAAGACCATGGCTGGCATCCTATATATCCCGTATACACATAGGAACGCCAGATTGACTGAAAGGTTTCCCATCGGCTACTTTCATGGAATTGGATTAATCGTAAGATAGAGTGCAGAACAACTCACAGTGGAGGTTTCCATAAAGCAAGCGTCGATCGAAAACAGCCGTCAGAGTCTGAGTTAGCTCATAACCCAAGGAAGAACAAGAAGCGTCCTGAAAATTCGTCCGATAATAAGACTGATGACTTACCCAGCAGGTTCGGCGTATATTAACAGACAGGTCGATGTAGTTCGAACGAAATAATGAAGTGGGTACAAGAAGAGTAGCGAGACCCCTTAGATTCTTGCATGGCAGTAGTTTCACCCACGGGGTGAAGTTTTCACTACACAAACCTTCGCCTGGCATTTGTGCGTAGCGCACGCGATCAGTACCATTTCTCTTGTCTCTAGGGTTGACGATTCCAGTGGGTCTAAAGGACCATCGCGGAACGACCGAAAAGGTTCGACTGGAAAGACGAGCCAGTGAAGCACAAAACTGGCCGGACAAAGCATGGGTCAGCTCAAACCATGCTTGATCAACGCTAGATACAAGATAGATAGATAGATACAATGCAATATTACTTGGTAGTATCATGTTTGAACCAAGACCACAACTCCGCCCCAGCTGGGGCCGTCATCATGAAATTGCGACCCCAGTGTTCATCATCCCAGTGTCCACGGACCATAGAAAGGTGCAGTTCCTCAACAGAATACTTGGTGAGGATATCGAACATGGACTTTGGAACAATATTTCGATGTTGCTCTTCAGGAAGTAGGGAAATTAACAATCAAACGTGTCTTACTTGGTTGTTCATATTCCGGTGTTCTAGAGACAAATTGGAAGTGGAACGCAGTGAAGCCTCCCCCCAACTCCTTGATAAGGAGCTCTTCATTGAAGTTCTCATGACATAACACATCACCGAGCACCACCATACACAGTAGTAGAATGGATATAACAAACATCCCTTGAAAAGCTACAAATGAGGTAAATCATAGACAATATACAGCAAAAGGTGCAAATTCATCTATTCACAAGTCCATGCAACTAACCGGTTACTTTTTGCCAGGGTTTTCGAAGGCGAACACTTTGTAACAATGTGATCGTGATTACCCTTCCAACGTCGCCTTTTGCCCACAGAGGCTGTACTCTAGGCATCAAAAAGTTCCCACGACGTGCACTGAGAATGAAGGCCGGAGATGACTGATTCCTAAGGAGCAGTCGATAATATCACATAAAGTGAACAGGATGGACCAAGATGAATTTCATCCACTCACTCACTCCAAAAACTAGACAGCAAGGTACCAATGACGGACAATTAATTCCCAAAACAGTGAGGAAAAAATTACGGTGCGCTGAACAAGCTGACTCACACTGTACACACGTGTAAAACACCACATACGACAGCCGCGAGAGTCGTGAACTGTGAATTAATCAATTCAATCGATTTAAAGGCCATAAAAGGTGTACCATAGTCACATTAGTTTCAGACGCTATTGTTTCGATCACCGGGAAGTGGGATAGTGTATGACATACAGCCAAGTTTTGGCAGCGATGGAATGTTTGGTTATCTCGGGAATTGAGCAGCTACGTACTGAAGACGATAGCTTTGATGCACAGGCGCCACTGATCGCGCGATTGCATCAAATCTGCCAGTGTCATTAACCATTGGTGAGTCGAGTCCCGGGGTCCCCATCCGACCCGACTCAGGTATTAGTTACCAGGTCATACACACTGTCCACCTCTTGGCCGCTTCCACTCAGAACAGGGCTGGGTGAAAAGACCTCTGTCAGGAACATGGTCTTCTGGCATGCGGAACATATGTCCTAACCAGTGTAACCTATGAAGCGTGAGTAATTCAGTTTAACGCAGGAGAGTTCCTTCTTCCTAGGACCATCTGGTGCGCCTCAGCATTACTAATCCAACGTACCAACCAGACCAGACAAGTGTTTCGGAGACATCCATGGTCGAACACTGACATCGTTTGTATGTCCGCGCGTAGAGACCGCATGTCTGATCCATAAAGCAGTGTGGGTCACACTACCACAGCCTTTTTATACCCCACTGGACGTGGTAAACTTAGGCGAAGGCTTGGCGTATACTTGCACGAGCCCACAGGTTTCGCATACAGATCCCTCATGAGGGGAATAAATTTGGAAGAGACACGTTTGGTCGCCAGAGCTCATCAAACAAAGGATCGATTCTTCCGTCCTGAACAGTTCGATGCCGATCCCAATAGTCGGGAGATATCTGAGAGAATTGCTTTTGTACTTTGGCTGATTTCCTAGAGCCTGTTGATTCTCATTCACCAGATAAACTGAAAAGCTTGTTCAATTACGTTGATCCAATTGTTTGCCGCTTCAGCAAGAACTGTAAGGATTATGAGTCAGCTATTGCAATCTTGTGAGAAACCAACGTCCAATCGAAAAATGAAATTTTTGTCCCCAAGTGTCCCAAAGAAACACTCACTGATGTGTAAGCCAATGTCATTCCACTTGAAGCTACGGGGCGAGATGGCCCGTGGTTAGGGATCGAATTTACTGAACGAAAGGTCCGTGGTTCGAACCCGACTTCTGCTTCTCGACTTCCCTGTCTAGGCTTGAGCAACCTGGCAGTATCCCAGCCCTCGTGCTCCTTTCGGGTGACATGGCAGCTAGGCACCGGAAGGGTGCTACAGCTGAACGCAAAAAAAAAATTTGAGCCCTTGTTGATACTGGTGAAAGGAAGAAGGCCTTCGATGCGGAGTTATTTATTCGGAAATGCCAACTGACCAGTTACAGACCATTGAACAAGGAAGCAAAACTCTAATCTGCATCTTAGTTACAAAAACTGGACACAGATCTTCTCCCGAACGAGTCTTCCTGGAGATTCATTGCCTCCAATCATTCGTCGGTCAAATAAAAACAAATGTTATAAAGTGGCCCCGCGAATTCCGCAACAGAATTCCATTTCTCAATCAATGCAAAGCAAAATTCTACGAACACATACAACTCGCGTGCCTCCCGATCAGTAGTATCACCGTTACACACCTACACCCCTTAAAGCTCGTTCGCATGCCATCGATTTTCATTTACCTCCGTCAGGTCGGCTTCGGCAGCGGGTCTACTCGGCCGCACTTCAGGTGTATCATGCCACTTGCGAAGCTGCGTCCCATTCACTACTTTCGATCCCCGACCATCTTTAATGGTATAGACGTTCCCCCGGCGGTCGGTGACGACAAACGGCCCTTGCCATCGACTGCCCAGCTTCCGCGACCCCAGTCCACTCCTTCCAGGATTCTGGTGATCCTTCCACTTGACCTTCGTGCCTATGGGGAACGTTCGGACCTTTCTACTTGCCGTTTTCTGCCTAGCCCTTTCCTGAACGGCGGTCAAATTTTCTCGAGCTCTCTTTCTTTCTTCCTCTAGCTCCTCCGGAGACAAGCGTGTTGCCGGCCACAACCCAATTTCCTGATCAACCGGAAGGCGCGGATGTCGACCGTACATTAACATAAACGGGGACTTGCCTGTGGTTGACTGCGTGGAAGCACGATGAGCTAACAACACCATTGGCAAGTTCATTTCCCAGTCACCTCCTTTGGCCGCAAGCCACTCCTTGATCGTTCGGTTGTTACGTTCGGTCAGGCCATTTGTTTGCGGGTGGTATGGTGCCGTCCTTAGCCGTCTGATACCCAGCTTCTGCAAGCAATTACGAAACTCTTCGCTCTCGAAGCAAGGCCCCTGATCGGTTAGGATCATTTTTGGCACCCCATGGTTGGCCACAATGTGATGCATTACCACTCCGCTGATCGTCGTCGCCCGCTGATTCGGCACGGCTGCCGCCTCAATCCATCGCGACAGGTGTTCTGTCATCATCACGATGTATTGGTTCCCACTGGTTGTCACCGGAAAGGGGCCCATGACGTCAACTGACCACAACTCGCCGATTTCTGAGACAGGAATGGGTTCCATGGGATGGGTTGCCCCTGTCGTATCCGCTTTCATTAGTTGACAACGCTTACAGGACACCACATAATCCATCACCTCACTTCTCATCCCGGGCCAGTAGGCCCTCTGCCGAAGTAGGTCGTATGTCTTGGTGCACCCTGTATGTGCCATCTCATGGCATTCAACGATGAGATTCCGTCTCAAGACGCGAGGTATCACGGGCAGCACAACATCTGAATCAGTGGCGTTCCAGGAAATTATGCCAGCTTCATTCAGCCTCAGCCGATCAAAGTGACTCTGGAACGCTTCTAATTCCTTGTCTCCCTCTCCGTTCTCAATGTTCCTTCCATCCAACAAGGCGGCTGCAACCTTTTGTAACACCGGATCCTGCCGTTGGAGTTGCACCAACTTTCCGGGATCCAGTTCGACGACGAGGCCATTGGCTCCAATCATGATCTTGGGGACCTCATCTTCAGCCTCTGGCCTTGACAGCCAATCAGCCAAGTGGTTCTCCTTCCCCGGCACGTGCTGGATTGTGAAGTCGTACTCTTGCAACCGGAGTGCCCAGCGTGCGAGCTTCCCGCGAGGATCTCTGGTGGTCCTGATCCACTCCAGGGGTTTGTGATCGGTTTCGACATGAAACCTTTGCCCAAGCAGATATGGTCTCCACTTATCCAGGGCCCAGACGATCGCTAAACATTCCTTCTCAATGGTGGAGTACTTCTGTTCAGCGTTAGTCAGGACGCGACTGGCATATTCGATAACTCCATTCCTCTGCTTTAGGACTGCGCCGATACCGCGATCACTGGCGTCCGTTGCAACAATGAACATCTCTCCGACCCTGGGAAGTTTGAGGGTCAGTTGCTGATCCGACATCCGCGCTTTGACACGCTCAAAAGCTTCATGTGCTTCTCCGGTCCATTCGAATTTCCGATTTTGACCGAGCAAATCGTACAGTGGCGCAGCGATCGTGTTGAAATCCTTAACGAACCGGCTGTAGTATGCTGCTCGTCCAAGAAACTGCCGTAGAGACCGCTTTGAATTGGGAACAGCACAATCCCTGATCTTTGCCAATTTTTCGGGCAGTGGGCTAACTTCTCCCTGACCCACTTTATGCCCCAGCAGTGTCACCGAACTCCGAGCGAGCTGTGTCTTGGCTTCATTTATCCGCAGGCCAGCCTCCCGGATCCGCTCCAACACAGCCTTCAAGTGAACTACGTGCTCTGGTTCCGAATTGCTGTACACAACGATATCGTCTCCGTACACGGCAACATTCTGGAGTCCCTTGGTTACACGAAGCATCAAGCGCCGGAATGTGAATGGTGCCCCGGACAAACCAAACGGCATTCGTCTAAATTGATATTGGGTGTCCCCAACCGTAAACGCCGTTTTCTCCCGGTCCTCCTCCTTGATAGGTAGTTGCCAATATCCGGAACGCAAGTCGAACACAGTAAAGTATCGGGAGTGCTGGAGGGAATCGAAAATCTCTGCAACCGAAGGCACAGCCACAACCCGATTTACGGTCAGTTCATTCAAGCGCCGGAAATCCACGCAAAATCTGTATTTTCCGTTCGTCTTCCTTACAAGCACAACTGGGGAATTGTACGCACTGTTGGCTTCTTCGATTATACCGTTCTTCAACATCTCCTGAATCTGTCTATGGACCTCCTCCCGTAGATGGAGCGGCAACGGACGGGGGCCATAAGGTCGAAAGCGTTCTGATGACAGAGGAATTTCGTGTTCAATCCACGGGCAGAAGCCAAACGGATCCTCATCGCCCGTAAACAGTTCGGAATATTCCTCAACCACGGCCCGTATTGACGATACATTACAAGACGGAAGTTTTCGGACACACAGCTCCCTCACGACAGTGCCTGGATAACCTTCAAGCTTGATTGCGCCATACTTTGTCACCAGCCTTCCCTGCTTTAGGTCAATCACGGCATCTGTGCCCTTGAGAAAATCAGCTCCCAATATTGTCTGCTCTACGTCTGGGCTGATCAGGAACGCGTGCTGCACGGACTTGTCGCCTAGGCGTA